TATTGCCACAACTATCATTAATGAATCTACTGCTACTATCATCAGTATTACCTAACAACTCGCCATGAACAGAGTCTTTTCAGAAAATTCGTTCGCAAATAAGTAAAGTGTCTACAGAAAACGGAATGAATGATGGCTCATAGTTTAACAACTTCATTCAAATTTCATTGAAACCTTCAGATCGCTTCCAGCTTGTTCGATTCTTTTATCGACACCACTTCCTTTACCGATAAACCATAATTTAACGGTGTGATCCATACTCGCCGATGCCAAATACTCCGACGTCACATCAAAATCCTTAAGAGAAATACTCTGTCTCGAGTAATAGTGAAGGGATTTATCAATTTCTCATATCACAAAACATTCAATAAAATAAAATCGTATTCAAGCGAAAATCGATCAACTACTTGATCGAAATCAAAATCAATCAACCACTACTAAATCACTGACCACAGATAAGACTTGATCCAAATGTCCTTCGACTCCACCCAAAATCGCTAAACAAGCACTATTTCGGATATGCCAAATACGAGCCGTAAAGTCTTTACTTGCCGATGCAATTATTGTCGAGTCTTTCGGGCATACACGCACATCATTCACCGCATCGCCGTGCCCGATCAAATTCTGAATTACACACAAACAAATAATACCTTTTCCATAACTCTGTTCGATACTTCACCTGCATATCGACACTTGAATCTATGTCTCAGTTCTTTCTGTTATGTTATGAGTGAATTCCTTTCCAATATTTCCTCATATTCAACCTTATTGTTAGCTTGAAATTCAAAAACCGAAATAGCTCAAAACATACCGCAATCAATGCACCACTGTTAAAATCAATCACACGAATTATGCCTAGCATCCCACCGGCCACTACGGCATGAGCATTACTGAATGTATCATATGCCCAACACACTGCGAAAAATGCTTCTTCCTTCTGAATTTAAATACAAAAATTGAAAATATTACTGAAAACATTGAGAAGAGCACTTCTGTATACATTCCAAGTAGACAATTTACTAGATAAATTAAATAATTGAATAAAACAATTTACAAACAAAACTATCAGAATTCAAAAAAATCCGAAGAGATCATAATAAGGAATTACCGATGGATCTTGATAACTCCTCAGCAGTGTAACTGATGGTTTATCGCTTGGAATTTGATAGACTGTTATCTGTACAGAATTGATGTTATTCTTATCCATAATACTATTAAATGCAATTGATTCAAACCACAAAATTTTTAAAAAATGCTTCACTCCGAATTTCAACAATTAATAAGAAGATAAAAGACAAAAAATATGAAGTGGAAACCGTACCCGATTATCGCCGACCGTTGCAAAATAAGGTATTTCCGAGTAAGGATTAAAGGCACAGCCGTAGATTGTCTTCTTATGGCTCTCCTACAATGAAGTTTTTTTCAGGAACGGTTGGATTTTTTGCTTAGAAATTGCAGAAGTATTCACTGTTTTGAAGAAAAATGAATTCTGATGAGTAAAATAATGAAATGATGCTTTTTTTGGATCGTTTACGCAATAAACTGATCTCATCAACGAATCGAATGACACTCCATATGCCTCGATTAACAACGGAACTGAATTACAGATAAAGTTACACACTTACATATACGGTTGACATGTGTGTAAAGGGAACGGCACTCTTCCGCACAGGCTTCTTACCCGTACCTCTACGAGATCGTTGACGCTGTAACCAATTGAATAAGAATCTGTTTCAGACGTGGTCAAAATACATCGGAAAAATTCCAATTTACGCATTCGGCATTACGTTTGATTAATCGGAAATCGCATTGATTCGTTCAGCAATGGCTTAGGCTGTGGAATTTTGTGAAAACTATCGGAAAAAATGCCCAGGAAATTCATCAACGTGAAATTTTAACTTACATGATTACTGGAATTCGACGATGATGGTCGACTGCTCG